GATCATCAGTAGCTTCGGAGGCAGCTTTCAGCGCAGCAAGATTTCTAATTGGAGACCACATATATTCGTTAGCAGAAGACAGTTTGGAGATATCGATGTTGTTTAGAGATTGGATAAATGCTGAACGGAGAAATCAAGGACTTCCAAAGTTAGATAGTCAATTTGAACTTTTCATAGATTCAACCATTGGATGTGGTAGTGATGATGGCATGGAACTTCAAGATCGTCAATGAGCTTTACCAAGGCCAATAGTTGATTACGGTCAATCTATAGCTGAGTTAGAGAAGGAATTTACGGGACTATACAACTATTAGTATTATATTCGAGGCTTAGTTGAAACAAAACCCTTCCTAGAAGGTGGCTGCGTAAACTATGCACTCTATTAATAGTTGTAAATTGTAATTTGTAATACAAATTTAAATAAATTGGTGGCTGCGTAAACTATGCACTCCATTCTCAATCTTTCTCAAAGTTTCATACTTTCAATATTCAAGTTTCAAATTTCAATCATATTATTTTGTAATTGTGAAGATTTCAACAATCATTTGGTGAATTTCGGAGTAGGAATCTTCTTCAAACTTCAAGTTTCGTCATCAATTTTTCAATTTTCGGTTATAATCATTTGTTCTTTATACAAATGTTTGGTAACTTCGTTCCACTCTCTAATCTTATATTTATTTTTTGTATTTATTATTTGTAAGTTGTTCTTGTTATATTTTATTTGTTCTTGTTAAATTTCGTATTTCATAATTTATATTATATCATGGAGTTTTCTAAAAAAAAGTGGAGGTATAAAAGGTATTGTACAAGGAGTAAAAAATATGTTTACAAAAAATAAGAACGGTTCTAGTTCTTCTAAATTTAATTTTCCTCTTGTTAGAATGAATACTGATGAATTTACTCATGTGAATGAAACTAGTTTTTTTCGTCCTGGTCCTATAGAAATTAATTCGGATACTCCTATAATTTCTGAAGAGGTTTATGAAAGACATTATGGTAATTATCAAGAAAATGAAGAAGTAGAAATTGATGAAGAAGATTTAGATGATACACCGACTAGTCTCGACCTCAATAGTACTGAAGTTCCACCTCAGGAGGACAATTCTTCGGTTGGAACTAGTCGTCCCCCTATTGTTCCAACTAGAGGTAAGACCAAGGTACAACGTACTTTAAAATCAAATGTGTGGAAATTTTGTTATTTGAATGAAGAAAAAACTTTTAGTATATGTAATATTTGTAAACAACATTTTAAATATACATCTGGTGGGAGTGGAGGTTCAAATTTTGTTATTTGAATGAAGAAAAAACTTTTAGTATATTTAAAATTTTAAATATACATTTTAAAAATTTTGGTTTGCATATATATCTTCTCTTGATGTTTGTGAAAATTCTAACATTGAAACATCGGCTAGAGGGTCAAATATGGTTCAAGGTAAATTAAATACTTCGAACCCAAGTGGTCCTCTTACACATCGAACCTATAATAAGGATCGTGATCGTGAAAATTTTGCTAAAATGATTGTTGTTTGTGGTTTACCTTTTAGTTTTGGAGAACATCCGGGTTTTATTGCATATATTCGTGATACATATAATCCTAGTTTTAAAGGTTTATCAAGAAGCATGGTAAAAAGAGATATTTTTGAATTTCAAGAAAAACATTGTCAATATTTGCGTGCCTATTTTGAAATAATGGATTGTAGAGTTACTATTACCACTGATATGGGTCGTAGTCCTAATGGTTTTGATTATTTAATTGTTACTGCGCATTGAATTGATTATAATTGGAATTTACAAAAAAGAATTATTGGTTATAAAATTTGTCAAAAGAAAAAAACTGGAATGTATATTGCTACTACTGTGTTGGAAATTGTAGATTTTTTCGATCTTTGTGATAAAGTCATTAGTATTACTTTAGATAATGCTTCTGCTAATTTAAATGTTATTAATATGCTAGAACCTAGACTTTGTCCTATTAGTAAATATGTTTTTCATGTTAGATGTGTTGCGCATATATTAAATTTGGTTGTTAGTGACGGTGTGAAATTATTTGAAAATAGTTGTGATAAAGTTGATAATGCTTGTTTTTATATTTTTCATATGCATAGTAGTAGTAGAATTAATCAATTTAAAGAGCTTTGTAATGCATGTAAACTTCCGTTTAGAAAAGTACGAAGCATGTAAAAACTAGATGGAATTTCTTTTATGATATGCTTGAAGTTGCTTATACATATAGAGAACCTATTACTATGCAATTTAATAGTCATAATGATTATCCTGAATTTAAACTTAATGATAGTAATTGGGATGAAGTAAATGAACTTAGAATATTTTTGAAATCATTTTATGGTGCTACTAAAATTTTTCTATAATGTATTATCCTACTATTTCTGAAATTTTAATACGTATAGGTGAGATTTCATATCTCTTTTCTGAATATAAAACAAATGAATTATTTACCAGTGCTATTGAAGTTATGATTACAAAATTTAAGAAATATTTTTTTCCTATCTCTCAAATTTATTTAACTGCAATTTTTTTCAACCCTGAATATAAAGAATATGGTGCAAAAGCTTTAGTTGAATGCATTTATCAAAATTTAGATATTAAACCAGAAGAAAAACCTGATTTGGTAACATGTCAAAATAGTATAAAATTACTTGCTATAGAAATGTATAATAAATATTGTTCCTTAGATAATGTTGAAAATCCTCAAATGTTTATGCCTCGAGTAGGTGCCCATGGTAGAGTGAAACATAAACTTGGTCTTGACTCTTCTAATAAATGTGAATTTGTTAAATATCTTGAACATGGTTCAGATAATATTACAAACAATGAAGGTATACTACAACTATTGAACTGGTGGAGGGCTCGTGGAACTCAATTTCCAAAACTTAGTAGGATGGTGAAGGACGTGCTTGCAATTCAAGGATCATCAGTAGCTTCGGAGGCAGCTTTCAGCACGGCAAGATTTCTAATTGGAGACCATAGATATTCGTTAGCAGAAGACAGCTTGGAGATATCGGTGTTGTTTAGAGATTGGATAAATGCTGAACGGAGAAATCAAGGACTTCCAAAGTTAGATAGTCAATTTGAACTTTTCATAGATTCAACCATTGGATGTGGTAGTGATGATGGCATGGAACTTCAAGATCGTCAACGAGCTTTACCAAGGCCAGTAGTTGATTACGGTCAATCTATAGCTGAGTTAGAGAAGGGATTTACGGGACTATACAACTATTAGTATTACATTCGAGGCTTAGTTGAAACAAAACCCTTCCTAGAAGGTGGCTGCGTAAACTATGCACTCTATTAATAATTGTAAATTGTAATTTGTAATACAAATTTAAATAAATTGGATTGATATTTTTTAATTTGTGACTTTGTGTCATTGTTTTATCCTTATTTTTATTTAATTTTTTAAAATTACAAACTTAAGTTATTTAAATTACAAGTTGTAAATATAACGTATAAGTTATAACATATTAATAAGTAATAACTTATAAACTTCAAAAGATTCAAATCTTGAAAACTTAAGCCCAAAAATATATACTTTTTTAAAAAAACTTTATTAAACCTAACTTGAAAATTTAATAAACTTCAAAAGATTCAAATCTTGAAAACTTAAGCTCAAAAACATTTTTTTTTATAAAAAAACTTTATTAAACTTAACTTGCAAACTTAATAAGTAAAAATTAAAAAAATAAAATCTTTAAAATAAACTCAAGTAAAATTACATTATAAATTTGAAAACTATTAATTTAAGCTTAGAAAAATAAAAAAACATTCATATTTTCGTATTTCAAAAAATTAAAATAACTAAATTTTTTTTAATCATTTTTTGAAATATCTAGATGTGTCGTCCCGTTTATCCCATCCCGTTCCATTCCGGTTCCATCCCGGTAAATAGTGGGACGGGACGGAACCGAGTATCCGTCCCGATAATTCCGGTCCGGTTCATCCCGGTACCGATCAACAAACCGATCAACCCATCCCGTTCCGATCCGGTACCGATTCATTCCGGTCCGGTGGTTTCGTTCCGGTCCAGCTCCCAGTCTTTCAAGAATGACATCTTGAGTCTTCCCGGACACCACCTTATTTTTGAGCTTATTCAATTCCTCATCCTTAAATTGCTTAATATTAATTTCCTCTATGAAAGTGAGCTTAACCTCAATACTGATTTACACCTCATCCTTCGCTCAATATCGATCCGCCCCTAACTTCAATAATGATTGTCTATGGTACTTCATAATAACTCTTAACAATGAAAATAAAATAATGATTTACTATGCCAATTTATCTTAAAAGCAAAGAACCATTATCAATCACTCAGTTATATATATACACATGGAACCATTCATTTCACTGAACAAGCAAAACAAATAAATCAATAAATTACAGCCATCACCACTACTGCACTTACCCACCTTCGTCAGAGTAATCACCAACTTAACTGTCACCAAATTCCTATAGTAATAAAATCACTTCAAATTTTTAAAAAAGGGACAGAAAATAAAGTGAAGTGATATATATAGATAGAGAGAGTGTGTGTAATGGATGTGAAGAAGGAGGAAAAAAAAAGATATCAATAAATTCGTGGCTGAATTTAATAAAATATAAAAATCTTGATTAGTCTTAACTTGAATTGGTAATAGTATATACTAACATGTTTATTCCGAAGCTAGAAACTAAAATTCTGGATTAGTCTTTGAGGGTTCATCGTGTTTCATTCTCTGCCGTCGATGGTGTTTTCTCCGCCACATCGACGGCGGGGAATGGTGGGTCATCCGTGAAAGAAGAAAAGGCTGACGCCGTGACAAAATAATTCTTAGACCCAATTGCATTCACTGCCACACGGCTCTTGTTATAGTGATGGGCCACGTCTCCATTTTCTTGCACCCATTAATACCCAGACAATTTCTCACTATTTACAACTAACTTAGCATCACAAAACCGCAAACGGAGGTCTTTTTCGTCATTTCAGCACTGATATGCTAAAATATCTACTCTTCCCAGTTTGAAATTCCAACTCTGTTTTCCTCTTTCACTCATTTGAGTACTCATCGGAGATGGCGGTAGTAGTCGGAAACATAGCACTATTGCTTGACGGAACTCACTTGACCACTCCACGTGCCGTAGTCTTACCAGATCGGAAAACGAGGGATGTTCTGTTGAACTTCTTTGTGAAGAAAGATCCATGTCAGAATCAGAGCATGTATGCTTCTAGTGGGTTTGAAAATGAAAGAGAAAGATTAAATCCGAAAGTGGGTTTTCGGGGTAAAGCGAATTCGAAAGTGGGTGCGGTTGATTATGAGAATTCAAGTGATGATGAGAATGGAAATGGTGTTGAAGATGAAGGAGAAGGTGGTGGAGGAGGAGAAGAGTTCGATTGGGAGAAAGAAATGAAGAGGAGAGTTAAGGAGCTAGAGGAAATGAAGGAATTGGAGAAAAAAGCTGAGGAGTTGCAGAATCGTGTTGATGAGGAGTATGGTGAAGAAGGTGAAATCAGTGAAGAAACTGAGGAGGAGAAACGTGAAAGAGTTCGAAGGGAGCTCGAAAAGGTGATGCCTTTATCATTGCCTGTATTATTATTGATGTTATAACAATCCATGCCTTATTTATTTATAATGATAGCGTTCGGGCTAGTTTGTGCACACCACCAATCATAGCTTTCGTGCCTGCTACTTCTCGCCCATCTAGATTTAGGCAGACGAGAAGATGAACCAAAGGAACTTGAAACTTGCATCCATATTATGCTTTATATCTTCGCAGTATAATTACTTGGTTTACGTATTAGCTCTTGGAGATAAATAGCTGATGCACCTAGTAATGATAGGATCAACATGCCCTTTTCCGGTGTACACTTTCATCTATGTTTAACTAACTGCTGTTATAGCATCACTTTTGAAACTGTACTCGGGTTGAATTTTGGATTTGGTGACTGTTAAGTACTCCTTTCGTCCCAAAATTAGTTTCACTTTAACTCATTTCACACCCATTAAGAAATATAATATAATAAAAAGAAGGTATAGTTTACTAAGGTAACCCTATTTATTAGATATTTCTTGATAATTGAGGACTATTAATGAGTAGTTCTTTACTATAAGGGTGTAGTTGGAAAAACATACTACTATTTTTTATCTTGAATTCCTAAGGTGAGATGTATTGGAAAAAATATTTGTGCTAAAGTGACGCTTATTCTGGGATGGAGTAGTAATTTCATTTTCAATCGTGGTAGCCACTAGTTGGTGAGCAAATGAAAGGAAACTATCGTGGGTAATTTCATTTTGTACTGCATCAATGGCTAAAACCTATTTTCCACTAGTTGGAAATGGTTTTCTTATTTGAATAATATGAGTATTTGCAAGCAAGACACCCTCGAAGAGCTGTAGTGACAGTAGAAATATGCTGCAAATATCCTCAAAACTGTTATTGCATATATTTCTTTTGCATGCTTCATCAAATACTTTAGGGGTCGTTTGGTAGAGTGCATAAAAATAATGCTAAATAGAGTGTATTAGTAATGCTTGCATTAGAAATGCTTGTTTTAGTTATGCTTGCATTAATTATACATAGATGATTTCTTATGCATTGTTTGGTTTGGTGTATTAATAATAGCATACATTGCATAAAATATTTATTACAAAGATACCCTTCACAATTATGGTTGAAAAGATGTAAAAAAGATTTTAAGGGGCAATGAGGTCTTTAACAATGCTAGTGCATGCACTAAAACCCTACATTACTAATACCTAGAAATCCATGGTATTAGTAATATACACCTTTAGACACAATAGAGTATGGTGTTCCTTCTTTTAAATGACTTCCTTTCTCTCTCCTCTCCTCTCTCTTCTCTCTCTCTCTGGTATTTCCGGCCGAAATCGAAGGCTGCGCCGGCCAGAAGCGACGCGAGGACCAGCTCCGACCGGCGAGCCTCTTTCTCTCTCTCCTCCTAAGCTCCAGTGAGGACGATAACAACGAGCAGCAGCTCCAGCCGCTCGGACCAGCGAGCGGCGAACAGCAAACCCCGGCGAAGGTAAGAACATTCTTCAGCTTCTCCGGCGAACTCATCTATCTTCCCCGGCGACCAGTCCAGAAGAGAGACGACAGTGCTACTGTGTGTCGCCGGAGATCAACCAGATCTGGCCGGAAAAGTACCCATAGATCACCGAAACCCTCCATCTTCACCGACCAGGTTCTATCTATCCTTTTCTCTCTCTTTTTTGCTCTGAATCTAGTCGTTGCTGGGCTCTTTCTTGCAGATCCTTTATCCCGGAACAGTATTTCAGTTTTCTAATATAGTTCTGACCTGTGCTGCAGTATATAATATAGTGGGTGTTATCGTGTCCTTTAGAATACACACTGTACTGGACCATATAGTGTAGCTGTTGTTATATTGCCCCTTACTGTGTACTACTGTTGCAGTTTTTAGTGTATTCCTGTGTAGATCTTACTGTGTTTGCAGTTTCGTTCTAGTGGATTTGGTATTTGATGGTGGTAGTGAGTCATGTCCTCGGTTGAGGCTGAGGTCGAGGGATAATAGTGATAAGGGGGTTACGGGTTCTCATAACGTGAGGGTAGGATCTTGGAACATAGGTTCGTTGACGGGGAAGTCCATAGAGCTAGTGAAAATTCTCAAGAAGAGAAAGATAAATATAGCTTGTGTCCAAGAGACTAGATGGGTAGGCGCCAAGGCTCGGGATGTTGATGGGTTTAAGTTGTGGTACTCAGGAGGGTCAAGGGATAGAAATGGAGTGGGTATTTTAGTAGACGGGGATTTGAGGGAGCAAGTGGTGGAGGTTAGGAGGATCAATGATAGGCTGATGACGATTAAGCTAGTCATTGGAGGATGTACTTTGAGTGTCATTAGTGCTTATGCCCCTCAAGTGGGCTTGGACGAGGAGGCCAAAAAGCGCTTTTATGAGGATTTGGATGAGGTAGTTAGAGGTATACCGAATACCGAGAAGATTGTCATTGGTGGAGATTTTAATGGCCACATCGGGGCAACTTCTAGTGGATTTGATGATGTTCATGGAGGCTTTGGTTTTGGGGAGAGAAATGGAGGTGGAACTTCGCTTCTAGACTTTGCTAAGGCTTTTGAGTTGGTGATTGCTAACTCATGCTTTCCGAAGAAGGAGAACCACTTGGTTACCTTTCGTAGCCCGGTAGCTAAGACCCAGATAGATTACTTACTCCTTAGGAAGGGTGATAGAGGTCTCTTTAAGGACTGCAAGGTCATCCCAAGTGAAAACCTCACTACCCAACACAAGCTTTTGGTGATGGACCTGAAGATTAAGAGGGATAGGAGGAGGAAGATGATACCTGATCGACCGAGGATTAAATGGGGTGGGTTGACCCCTGCCCTTTCTCGGGAGATGGGTGAGGAGCTGATGGGGATGGGGGCTTGGAGTGGTAGCGGGGATGCAGACAGCATGTGGAATAAAGCAGTTAGTTGCATTAGGGAAGTTGCTTCTAAGGTGTTAGGGGTGTTAGGGGTGTCAAGGGGTAAATTTGGAGGCCATAAAGGAGATTGGTGGTGGAATGGGGAAGTCCAAGGTAAAGTGGAAGCGAAGAAGGCTGCATACATAAAATTGGCGGAGTGCGTAGACGAGGAAGAGAAGCGGACGCTTAAGAAAGTCTATAAGACGACAAAGACAGAAGCTAAGTTAGCTGTTACGAAGGCGAAGACGACAACTTTCGAACGCTTGTATGTCGAGCTGGGGGACAAAGGTGGGGATAAGAAGTTGTATAGGCTCGCAAAAGCAAGAGAGAGGAAGGCGCGCAACTTGGACCAAGTGAAGTGTATCAAAGATGAGGAAGGCAAAATACTGGTGGAAGAGACCTCCATCAAGCAAAGATGGCGTAGCTACTTTCACAAACTTTTAAATGAAAAAGGGGAAGCAGACATTGTGTTGGGTGATTTGGCACACTCTGAAAGACTTCGGGATTTTGGATACTGTAGGTGCGTTAGGTTCGAGGAGGTTATACGGGCTATTAGTAGGATGAGTAGGGGAAGAGCGACCGGACCCGATGATATTCCGGTAGAATTTTGGAAGAGCATGGACAAGGCGGGCATAGAGTGGTTAACTGGGCTGTTTAATGTTATCTTTAAGACAACAAAAATACCTGAAGAATGGAGGTGGAGTACAATGGTTCCGTTGTATAAAAACAAGGGTGATATCCAAAACTGTAACAACTACAGGGGTATCAAATTGTTGAGCCATACTATGAAGATTTGGGAGAGAGTGGTGGAGATGAGGGTGAGAAGAGGGGTGTCCATCTCTGAGAATCAGTTTGGATTCATGCCAGGACGTTCGACTACTGAAGCCATTCATTTTATGCGTAGACTGGTAGAAAAATATAGAGAAAGGAAGAGAGACCTACAGATGGTGTTCATTGACCTTGAAAAGGCCTATGACAAAGTACCGAGGAATGTCCTCTGGAGGTGCTTGGAGTCTAAAGGAGTCCCGATGATTTATATTAGGGCGATAAAGGACATGTACGGTGGAGCCAAGACTCGGGTTAGAATAGTTGGAGGAGACTCAGAACATTTCCCAGTTGAGATGGGGCTGCATCAGGGATCAGTCCTAAGCCCTTTCCTATTTGCTTTGGTGATAGACGAGTTGACGCGGTCTATTCAGGAGAAGGTCCCATGGTGTATGTTATTTGCGGATGACATAGTACTGATTGATGAGACGCGGAACAGAGTTAATGCGCGGTTGGAGGTGTGGAGACAAACGCTGCAGTCCAAAGGGTTCAGGTTGAGTAGGACCAAAACAGAATATTTGGGGTGCAAATTCAGTGATGTGGTGGATGAGACAGATGTGGAAGTGAGACTTGCCGCACAAATCATTCCTAAGAAGGAAAGTTTTAAGTATCTTGGGGCTGTAATCCAAGGGAGTGGTGACATCGACGATGACGTCACACATCGCATTGGGGCTGCTTGGATGAAATGGAGGCTTGCCTCTGGAGTATTGTGTGATAAGAAAATTCCACCGAAACTTAAATGTAAGTTTTACAGAGTGGTAGTTAGACCGGCCTTGTTGTATGGAGCGGAGTGTTGGCCAGTCAAGAACGCACACGTTCATAAAATGCATGTTGCGGAGATGAGGATGTTGAGATGGATGTGTGGGCACACTAGGAGCGATAAGATTAGGAATGAGGTTATTCGGGAGAAGGTGGGAGTGGCCTCTGTGGTGGACAAGTTGAGGGAAGCGAGACTGAGATGGTTTGGACATGTGAAGAGACGGAGCGCAGACACCCCAGTGAGGAGGTGCGAGGTAATGGTGGTAGAGGGTACGCGGAGGGGTAGAGGTAGGCCCAAGAAGTATTGGGAGGAGGTGATTAGACAAGACTTGGCTATGCTTCACATTACCGAGGACATGACTCTAGATAGGAAGGAGTGGAGGTCGCGTATTAAGGTTGAAGGTTAGTAGGGTTAGCGTGTTGTCTTCCCTTGCAAGGGTATGGGTTGTTAGCGTTTGGAGTAGACCTAGCCTTATGTTGTTTACTGCGTTTCACGCATCGCATTACTTTCTTGTTGTTATTGTCTCATTTGTTGATTATACGCTAGCTTTTGTATTGGCTGTTATGTTTTATATATATCTCTCCTGTCACTTAGATTTGTTGTTCTTGAGCTGAGGGTCTCCCGGAAACAGCCTCTCTACCTCCATGAGGTAGTGGCAAGGTCTGCGTACACTTTACCCTCCCCAGACCCCACCTAGTGGGATTTCACTGGGCATGTTGTTGTTGTAGACACAATAGAGTATAAAACTAATGCAAGCATTAGTTATTCATAGCATGAAAAAGTGTACCAAACAAGGTACCACAAATACACAGGTTTAATGCATGCATTATTTTTGCTAATACGCTCTACCAAAAAACTTGCTTTATGCGGTGAAGCTTTATTGTGATGAGTTAGTAAGGGTGTAAATATTTTCCAAATTACTTGGCTAAAAATTGGTCTGATGAAAAATTTCAGATCCTTTAATCTCAAAATCATCGTTTTAACTCTGGTTTGAAATTTAGGTGGCAAAGGAGCAATCGGAACGCAGAAAAACTGCTCAATTAATGTTCGATTTGGGCCAGAAGGCTTATGGGAAGGGCATGTATGGACGTGCAATAGAGTTCCTTGAAGGTGCTCTTACTATCATTCCTAGACCAACCTTGTTTGGTGGAGAGGTTAGTGGCAAGCAACTTCCTGAGTAAACACACAAAATGTGCTAATTTTTTTTCTAAGACTAATTGCATATGCAAATTGAACTTTCAGATACAAATATGGCTTGCTATGGCTTATGAAGCTAATAACCGCCATTCAGACTGCATTGATTTGTATAAGCAACTAGAAAGGAAACATCCCAGTGTCAGCATCCGACGTCAAGCTGCAGAGCTTCGTTATATATTGCAAGCACCTAAGTTGAAGATATCTCAAGAAGAAATGGTTACTATACCACTTATTGGTTCTAGCTATGATAGGTAAGTCCCATTCATCTAATATTATATTGCGTATGTTAGCTAAATAAAACAGTACCAATTACTTGCTTCTATGCAGTGGGCATGATATGCAAGTTCCTGGGGCAATCAATATGTTACATTAGTGGTTCGTCGTTTAATACGATTATGAATTGATCATAAAGTTACTAGCTGGCATCAATATAATTGTAACAGTAATTTAATTAAAGTTCTTTACCCAAGAGTGTGACTTTAGTGGTAAATGAAGTGGGTGTGAACTTTGAAAACCATGGTTCAACTTCCAGCAGAAACGAAAACATCTAGGTAATTTCTTCTGATCTGCTGAAGCCTTGATAAGCATTGGGCGAAGTTATCTGATACCTGTATGTAATGGTTGGAGGTAGTACAGGTATGTGGTGAAACAGTCCAGCGAAATTGACTATTACACCACTGTTATTTGTGTGCTACTTTTAGCATCCTTGGATTATTGGAAAATTTTGTAATATATGCCTCCATGATATCTATTGGTTAAAGCATAGATGTAGCAGGAAAGTTGAACAATTGAAATTATCTTTTGCTTTTGGGGTAAGTAAAATAAATTATATTTACCAATTGGAATATTGCAACACAAAGTCAAAAAGCACTTGAAACTAATTGAAGCTGAGCAAAATGGCTCCAGCATCAGTTGTAAGCTACTCTTCCACTGGTCCATGCACTCCTCTATCTATAGTACATCAACAGCCTATGTTGCTCGGACTCTTCAAAAATACTGCTGCCCCCATGTCGGATCCTCCAAAAATGCACTAGTTTTGGAGGATCTGACTTGTACCTGTCAAAAGTTTTGAAGAGTTTGAGCAACAAAGTTCAACAACAGCATACCTGGTAAAATCCGACAGGTGGGGGTAGAGCGTACATAGACCTTCTCCCTACCTTGTGGAGGTAGAGAGACTGTACCCGAAAGACCCTCGACTCAAGCAATGCATATCAAAGTAGTTTGTTTTTTTTTACTTCCAAAAGTAAAGAAGGCATAGCAAATAATAGGGAAAGCCTTATGTTGCATTTAACAACAGAAAAATATTGCGATAAGCGAAGCACAAAAACAACAGGTAGAACCAGAAATCGGAGGAAAAGGAACTACGAGAATAATGCTAAACTATCTTATAGTCCATATAGTAGATTCTGCTAGGATAGAAGTTCAAGCTTTCCATCTTCTTAGCTAGTTTAGCCTTCAAGGTTCCCCTAAAGATAACTTCTTGGATAATCATCCTGCCTATTGCGCCAACAGTCCTCTGCTTTCCCCGGAAGATTCTCATAATCCTCTCTTGCCAAACATAGTATAATGAACAAGCCATTGCCATTCTATACAATTCAGCAGCTGAACTCTTTCCCCTGCAATTTACTGCTGCCCACTGCACCTCTTCCTGCCAAAGCAGCATTTGCCTCTGTATCTCCTGCTATTGAAGAATATTACCCCATATATTAGCAGATATACTCGCATTCAAAGAAAAGGTGAGAGATACTTTCATTTGCAGCTACACAAGGGACAATACAGGTTATCAACAGCACTCCGGTGAGCTAGTCTGTCTCTAGTTTAGAGACTTCGATGAGCAGCCAGCCTCACCATAAAGATCCATTTTGGCTTGGGTTAGACACACAAGTCTTCTCCCTGACTCCCTGTCATCTTCACAAACTTGCCTCTCAGCTTCACATAGATCTTTCTGATAGAAAAGGTTTGCATTTTGAACAGGTTATTAGCTTTTTTAACATACTATTACAGTATGCTCCCTCTCTTTCCTCTTTTATTAACAAATGCAAATTTCTCTATGGAAGTGGATTGCAGAGGTCCACTGATTAGGAATGTGACTTCAGATGATTGAAAGATTATCTGAGAACTTTTTCTTGTAACGAGGCTTTCTATGAATAAACTATAGGGCTCGATTTCTCTTTGTCCCCCCATCCCACCCCCATCCTTTCTTTACTTTTTCTTTTGTCAATTTGAAGTATTTGGTTTCATGGATGAGGGTACCTTCTAATGTGAACTCGATTATTAACTTGTAATGTCCTTAACTTTAAGGGGTATGAGATAGAAGTCCTTTCTAAGGGACTGAACTTGTTACTTCTTGGGTAATCTAATTAGTTGTATTAGAGACAGACCTTCTGAAGTTGGAAATTGATTGAATGAAGCTCATTTAGACTCATTTAACCATGCGAGAAGATTAATGGTAACTGAATGACAACATGTGTATAGTACATGATGTCACAGTATGGTGTAATATTCTTCAGCAGTTCCAACACATCAGTGTGGAGTTTTCAGCATATTGACTTAACATATAAAAATGATGAAATATGGGTGACATTCTTTTCTTCTTCTTTACTAGATATTAGGTGTTTGCTTCTTTTCACAACTTAAGGGACTACTGCTTATTCATGATAACATTTCTACGAAGTAATTCTTTTAAGGTACTCATGCTTCCTGAGGCTGAGTGATTCCAAGAATCATTGAAGATCAGCACTAATTTCCCTTCCTTTTTTTTGTGTAGTTATGCTGGATCATGGACTGACAAAGAGAAGGACAAAGATGAAAGACAAAGCCGGTCTACAACAAATCAGCTTCCATCGAGCAGGGACTGGGTGGGAGACTTTCTGGTCTGGAAGCCCCCAGTTGGTTTGGAGAAAAGCCAATCATTCTGGGGCAATTTTAACAATATGGATAGCCTTGGTTGGAGCTGCACTCTTTTTGCAAAAATGAAGCATATATATATACTTGTAAAGATGTTTGTTGTTTAGCTTTCTATTCTTTATTGGTAAGTATATATATAGGCTAATGTGTATTACCATTCTAAATTCCTGTTGTATATTTCTACCCTTGTTTAATATAATTAGCAAATATCAATTCTGCTATGCTCTGCACTTTGCATTTGTTTACACTCATTTCTTGGACAACATCTGAGAGTAAAAGCAAGTATCCATTGTGTCAATTCAGGCAAGAAACTAGTTGATTCTTTTTGGCAGAGATACTGTAAATATGTAGAGAACATTCTCGATTTGTGTATGTCATCCAGCGTTGAAGAGAGGAATTTACTCATCTTATTCATGTATCAACCAACACATGCCCCGGATAATCTTGATATACACATGCAAACTACGTATTAAAATTGCTCTCTCTCTCTCTCTCACTCACACACACACACAACAGCTTTTGTGGCATCCAAACTAAACAAACAGTATGATATGGATCTCGTCTGCAGTCAGTTAATAAGGTTTTCACCATTTTCTTTGACCTTTGAGTCTCCTCCCCATAGTTTTATCCTGTCTCCGGCAAGGGAAGCCTGTATTACAATCAAGTTATTTGTAAGATACTTACAATTAAAAGTAATAACTAACCTACACTTGATTCTTGATGTATGCCTTACCTCCTTGTTCCAATTAGTTCGAAGGATCATCATGATCAACACACCAGTTTGAACAGTCGTACCCGCAAGCATCCCATACCAAATTCCCTACAAAATCATGTATTAAATAATACAATGTCTGTCTTACGAGATTGTTTTTTTTTTTTTTTAAAATCAAGTTAAGACAAAGAAAATTGTACCTTAACACCAGTGTCAAGGAGGAAGCCAAGTATGAGACCTATTGGAATACCAAACAAATAGTAACAAATTATGTTTACATATGCAACATAAGCTTGCCATCCTGCTCCAATAGCCACTCCTGAAAGAGTAGGTTGAAGACTGCTAACAACAATGGTGGCAGCTAAGATACGTGAGAGCTCATACACAACATGTTGGACTTGTTCATTGTTTGAAAACAATAGAGGATACCAACTCCGACAAACAAGAAGCAACATTGCCAGGAACATCCCGAATAAAAGAGAAGTGATGGAGGCTACCATTACTGAGAATTTTGCACTTCTTGGATGTCCTGCTCCTAGTTCATTTGACACCCTTACGCTGTACATAAACATAATTAATGAGATAGTTAAAAAAGAAGGAGAGTGTTTAGAGTTAGTTAGGACTACTTCAAGAAGTTAGTTTGAAGGTAGTTACCAAAAAGTTAGGTAAGTTAGTTAGTAAGGAAAATAGAAATACATAGGATTTAGTCATTGTACATCTACTGCTTAAAAAGGAAAAATAAAAAATACTTTCTTCTTTTCCAATTCTATTGTTCTTATAGTTCATAGTGAATATCTTCATGGTATCAGAGCGGGTGATAAAACTTTAAAGAAGTCATCTGTGTATTACGTCTGAAGATCAGAATCTGGAGAAGTCATCTATGTATTACGTCTGAAGATCAGAATCTGGAGAATTCTGTTCGTTTCTGTGTATTACGTCTGAAGATCAGAGTCTAAAGAATTCTGATCGTCTTGATAATTCAGTTTAGCTTCCGAAAATCAATTTGAAAAAGAAGAAAGATTACAAGCATGACTCAAGGGGTAACTGGTGAACAGACAACTAAAACCAGTAGTGTTGGTGGAATTTTTGGAAATCCAAGCTCCATTCCAGCTATGTCGATGAGTCAAGGAGTTGATTATAGTCATCCTCTGTTCTTGAGTCCTGCTGATATCAGTGGGGTTAATCTGATTTCATTCCAGCTTATTGGAATTGAGAACTATGCCTTGTGGAGTAGGTCGATTAGATTGGCATTACTTGGAAGAAACAAAATTGATTTGGTAGATGGATCGTGTAAACAAGAAGATGTAAGTGCAGAATTAAGAGGTCAGTGGGAAAGGGTGAATGCCATTGTTCTCTCATGGCTTCTAAATTCTGTGTCAAAGAGTTTGCTAGGAGGAGTAGCTTTTGCATCATCAACTCAAGCTGTGTGGAATGACTTAAAAGAAAGGTTTGATCAATTAGATGGATCAAGAACCTTCAGTCTACACAAAGAAATTGCAACCTTGCAACATGGTACAGATTCTGTGTCTGTATACTTTACAAAGCTCAAAACATTATGGGATGAATTTGAGACTTTGGTACCACCTCCTGGATGTAATTGTGAAAAGGCAAGAGGTTTTGTGGATCATCTAAATCGCTAGAAATTGTATCAGTTTTTGATGGGATTGAATGAGTCATTTGGACAAGCAAGAAGTCAGATCTTGTTGATGAATCATGTTCCTACAGTAAATCAAGCCTATGCTATGGTTGTAAATGATGAATGTCAAAAAATGACCTCTAGTAGGTCAAATATAGGCCTAAGTTCTATGGGTAGTACTGGAATGGATCCTCTGGCAATGTACTCAAGAACTGGTGGAGGCTCTAGTTCCCAAGGGGTTAACAAGTTCAAGAAGAACTTTCCAGTGGTGTGTGATTTTTGCAGATGCAAGGGACACACTAAGGATCAGTGTTATAAGTTAATTGGGTATCCATCTGATTTCAAGTCAAAAAGGAAAGTGAATACCAGTACAGGAACTGGAGCTTACATGGTTGGGATGTTAACAACACAAGAAAGGATGATTATGAGGATGTGTCTGGTAAAGTTTCTTTCAACTATGGAGGTAACACTAATGTACCTGTGAAAAATCATATGAGTAATATAGAGGAATGTTCAAACCAGTTACAATGATGTAATTTCACCAAAGATTAGTATAGTCAAATTCTTCAAATGCTGAAGCAGAATCAAGGAGGTGGACAAAAATCAGAAGATTCAAGCCATGCACATGAAACTCAAGCTAATACTGCAGGTAAAGTCTTGTTAATTTTTGAAAATAGTCAGGTCTGAATTGTAGATACTGGGGCATCTAATCATATGGTGTCAAACTTGGATATGCTTTCTAGTGAGTCTGTTATCAAGGTTAAAGAGCCAAAACCTGTATATTTACCTACTGGGAAGTGTCATATGTGTCTCATACAGGATTATGTAACATATCTCCAAGAAGTGTGATTACAAATGTTTATCACATACCAGAGTTCAAGTACAACTTATTATCAGTGAGTAAGGTGACTAAGGAGTTAAATTGCTCAGTCACTTTCTTCCTTTATTTTTGTGTGTTTCAGGAGCTTTACACTGGCAAGGTGAGGGAAGTTGGTAAAAAGGAGGATGATTTGTACCTACTGCTAAGGAATTTGTCAAAAGATCAATTAAAGCACCAGTCATTTGTTGTACCTGAAAAGAAGCTAGGGATACAACAGTTATCAGAAAAGGAATTGAATGTATGTCACAAGAGGCTAGGACATGGATCTGCACAAATGTTGAGTAAAGTTTTTCCTGTTAATTCAGAAATAGTGAATAAAGTGCTAAATGAGTGTACTGTATGTCCTTGTGCAAAACAAACCAGAAATATGTTTCCTGTTAGTAGTATTAAAAGTAGTCAAATTTTTGATTTGATTCATTTGGATGTATGGGGTCCATACAAACAGGCAACTTTTGATGGTAACAGATTTTTTCTCACAGTAGTTGATGATTTCTCAAGGATGAGTTGGTTATTTCTGTTAAAAAATAAAGCAGATGTGTGTGTAGCTTTAGATTATTTTTTGAAGTTTGTCAAGACACAATTTGACAAAGTGGTAAGGAAGGTAAGGTCTGATAATGGAACTGAATTTATGAATGCTATATGTGCTACTTTGTTTAAAGAAAGAGGTACAGTACATCAAAGATCGTGTCCTTATACTCTACAGCAAAATGGAGTAGCTGAAAGGAAGCATAGACATCTATTAGAGGTGACTAGAGCGCTAAGGTTTCAGGGCCATTTTCCTATAAGGTTTTGGGGTCAGTGTGTACTTGCAGTTGCTTACTTGATAAACAGAATACCTAGCAGAGTTCTAGGAGGTAAATCTCCATATGAAATGATGTATGGTGTTAAGCCAATTATATCTCATCTTAGAATATTAGGTTGTTTATGCTATGCTACATTGTTAACTGAAAGTGATAAACTAGCATCTAGGACAAAGGCTGCAGTACATATGGGGTACTCAGAAACCCAAAAGGGTTATATTTTGTTAGATTTGACTTCCAACAGCTTCTTTGTGAGTAGAGATGTGATATTCAGAAAGTCAGTCTTTCCTTTCTTAACTGTTTTAGATAAAAGTAAAAAAGGTCCTTTTGTAAATCATTTGGATAATGATATGCTGAATGTAGAATGAAAGTTAGGATATGATAACATGAGTGACAAGAACAAATTTAATCATAGGTATGTACAAGAAACTCAGTGTGATACAGAATTAGACAGAAACTTGACTGATAATATTGAACAAGATACAATGGAGGAAACAATTCAAGGACAGGATTGTATGTCTAATGATCCTCAGACAGTGGTGAATAGAAGGTCTACTAGAGGAGTTCATCCACCAGCTTGGATGAAAGATTTTGTGTCCTTAAATATGGGCAAACAAGTGAAGTATCCTATAGAGGAGTGTGTTTCATACAGTCACTTATCTAAGTCTTGCCAAGAGTTTGTTGCTGTAACTTCTGTGCTAACTGAACCTACTTCCTTTGCTGATGCTAGTAAAGATCCTAAGTGGATTGAAGCAATGCAAGCTGAAATACAAGCATTACAAGATAATAACACTTGGAAACTAGTTGAGTTGCCTAAAGGGAAGGTTGCTATTGGATGTAGGTGGATCTATAGGATTAAGTAGAAGTCAACTGGAGAAGTAGAAAAGTATAAAGCAAGGCTGGTAGCTAAGGGATATAGTCAGCAAGAGGGCATAGATTATAAAGAAACTTTTTCTCCTGTAGTAAAAATGGTCACAATAAGAACCATTCTAGCCTTAGCTGTGTCCAAGAGTTGGCATATACACCAAATGGATGTATATAATGCATTTCTAAATGGAAATTTAGAGGATGAGATATATCTGTCTATGCCATAAGGGTTTTCCAATCAGGGGGAGAATATGAATAAGGTATGCATATTGGAAAAGTCATTGTATGGGCTTAAACAAGCACCAAGACAATGGAACCATAAGTTT